CACCTTAATTCGTTAAATTAATCTAACGTAGCCTTGTTTCCATAACAGTATTCTTGTCTAGGCTGGATTGTGCTGCAGTTCCTACCTCATCTCAACTGGTCACATCAATGAACCCAGCAAGACTCGAACTCTGGTATTGCAGCAAGGCTATATGAAATTGAGTGGAAGCGCTCGGTCTCCTCATATGATTGTGGAAATATTCAACTACCAGTCCCCCTATCACCGTAAACGAAATATGGGGAATACATTTCATATATAAGATTCTAAGATGCTTGGTTTGTTCGTAGTTCCTTGTCACTGTGTTAAAGTGGTTTGGCCTCGTTTGCCCGACTTGGTCGTATTTTCATGGAGACTTAGGAGGACATACGCTCCACTATTTCTTCTGCTGTGGTTGTCACGACTATTTATAGGGTGCATTTTAAGTTGTCTCGCGAGAAGAGCAATATGAGATGTATTCACCCAATTTCGTGTAAGGTGATGAAGGTGACTGGTGGAAGAATTTTCCCAAAATTCTCAACTTTTGGGAAAGCAAGGCTATGTGAAATTCAATGGAAACGTCATCTAAACTCATATCATTTTGGGAAAATTCTTCCACCAGTCCTTCATCACCTCAACCGAAATAGGGTGAATACATCTCATATTACTGATTTACTGGTAGCCTCAAAACAATACTTAAATGCAAGAATAGCAGTTGGGAGCAATTTACTTCTTCTCTGTATACAAATTGCGGAGTCTCTTACACAAAAGGTGTGAAACATTTGAGTCTTCTAAGCCAACTGTAACATTTACTTCTCCTTTATTTGTAATTTCATGTGAATGATTTGGGGATATGAAGCTGAATGATATAAAGTATTTCAAATAAGGAGAATGAATTTGTCTTTTTAAATGTGCATCACAATGTCCCAATTCCAATTTGCTTGATGCCGAGTTTTTTATCTAAGACTTCCTCTTTTATGGTATGTGCTCGGGAGGCCGATTCGGCTCGGATTAATCAAAGTATACGGTCCATTAATTGTGGTCGAACGGGAGCCGATGACACATCTTTCCTATTCTACCTGTTGTGATAAGTGAAATCTACATAACAAATTTACAGGGCAATTGTTCTCGATCTCCTTCTGCAATCGCTATTACCGAGTACACGTTGATTGTTTTCCCATTTTCCACACAGTCAATGCGTTTTTTTTGAAATAACAACATATTCATTAAAAAAGTAATATCACTCTTGTGTCAATTCAACTCGCTATTAGCACATTATGCATCTTAAAAGTAAAAACACTCACATGGTCTGCTCTTCGTCTACTGTTGCATCAAGTTTACTCGGTACGCTTAATGGAAGCAGGAGGTTTTGGAGGAATTCATCTGGAAATCCGCTTGCTTCATGTCATGGTATTTAGGATGATTTTGATTAAGAGTTTAGTGCCGCCATTAAATTTCCTTCATCCTCACCAGACAAAATGTTTTCCCCTCAAGTCTGGACTGCACATCATCACCTTTAAGGGAATTCGAAAATAAATCGTTTGCCTAATTTGGCCATATTTACCAATCCGCATCACAGAGTTGGGTGCTACTGGGTCAAAGGGCAGATGAGACTTTTGTCAAGCACATTACTATTGAAGCTGTCAATGAGGCAAGCATGCATTTGCCATTACAATCGATGAAGCTACTCATGCGTATCTTTCGAAAATAATAAACATTCTTGAATAATAACAACTTCTATGCAACGAAAGGAGACGGCGACCACACAAAATACCACATCATCTAAATATTCATACCTCCGAGTAAAATAAGTGATTGAGTTCGTTTTCAGGAATTAATGATAGTATCGAAATTCACACAGAATATACTCATTTCTAAAATAAGTAATATAGCAAATACAGTTTGCCTCATAGACAATCTCACTAGACATCTGATTTGAGACTGGCCTGGCTTGTCGTGAAAGTCACATCTGCCCTGCTAACCAGTAGCAACCCTGGCTGGGTCGGGGTGGCAACTCATCGCCTGGATGCTTACAGCCTAGTCTAGAATTCCGTTGTGGGTTCTGGTGAAATTACGGGCAGCATAAAACCGTGGGAATAATGTCATTATCCTTCCTTTACTCGCCTCAAGTCATCTGGACTGATTAAGATATTATTCAAGAAGTACTGCTCATTGTCGCAAATGACCAATACCGAACCAAGTTCCGTTCTGACAAGGACATTCCTGCTATGCAGCCTTTTGAACATACAAAATTATGCCTTGTCTCTCACATGTTGGAGTATCGTCCACTTCGTTGGGAGAGATTTGCCGAAAAAAAGATAAGGTTGGGGCGTCTTATCACCAGCCTGCCTTATCTGTTGCCGTATCGGGACGCCCAGACTAGGCCAAGCAGACAAGAGCTCGAGTCCCAAAATGAATGCGTTCGAGACCTGTTCCATTCGACTCAAATTCAGTTTTATCCCACCAACTCGGCTCTTGACCCCCTGTTGCCGAGTGTAAGAAGCTATCTTATGCCAGCCGACTCCTATTCCCTTTTATTCGCCCTCAACTTTCCAGCATAGAAGCAATCAAGCAGGTCAGGCATGTGAACAGTGAGAGTGACAAGAGATGGCAAGCGACCTTTTAGCTTTCTGGCTCCAAATGCCAAATCGTGACAGGATGTGTGACATCGTACGGGCCGCTGAGGACGATAGGTTGGTCGAGCGAGGCTTAGCGCCATCAAGTTTAATCTAGCCATCACTAAACGACGAGATGGCTGAAATTTTCCAACTTATTTCGTCAGTTAAGTCATGTTCAAGTGATTGTTGAGTTTACTCCCATTTCAAGTGAAAGTGTTGGCTGAAGAGATTCGAAGG